CATAAAAACACCTGCCTATTGAAACTGAGGGGACAGAGAAACATTTATCATGCAAATGGATGTCAGAAGAATGCGGTAGTAGCAATACTTACGTTGGACAAAAGATTTTAAAACAAAACTATAACAAGAGACAAAGAAGAGCACTATGGAATAATAAAAGAATCCAACAAGAAGATATAACAATTATAAGTATTTATGCACCCACTATGGGCATACCCAAATACATAAAACAGTTAATAACAAACATAAAGGAAGTAATCGATAATAATACAATAATAGTAGAGGACTTTAACACCCCATTTACATCAATGGAAGGATCATCTAAACAGAAAATCAACAAGAAAACAATGGCTTTGAGTGACACAATGGACCAGATGGATTTAACAGATATATTCAGAAAATTCCACCCTATAACAGAAGAATACACATTCTATTCAAGTGCACAGGGAATATTCTCCAGAACTGATCACATATTAGACCACAAAACAAGCCTCAACAAATTAAAAAAGATCAAAGTCATACCATGCATCTTTTCGACCACACTATTATAAAACTAGACGTCAACCATAAGAAAAAACTTGGAAAGACTATAAATACACGAAAGTTAAATAACATGATACTAAACAATGAATAGATCAATCAGGAAATCAAAGAAGAAATTTAAAAATACATGGAAACAAATGAAAATGAAAACATAATGGTACAAAACCTTTGGGACGCAGCAAAAGCATTTCTAAGAGTAAGTTTACAGCAATACAGGCCTACCTCAAGAAGAAAAATCTCAAACAACCTAACGTTACACCTAAAGGAACTAGAAAAAGAACAACAAACAAAACCTAAAATCAGAAGAAGGAAGGAAATAATAAGGACTAGAGCAGAAATAAATGATATGGAAACTAAAAAAACAATAGATCAATGAAACCAGGAGCTGGTTCTTCAAAAAAACAAAAAGAACAAAAACAAAAAAACAATAAAACTGATAAGCCACCAGCCAGACTTACCAAGAAAAAAAGAGAAAAGACCCAAATAAAATCACAAATGAGAGAGAATAATAAACCCCACAAAAATACAATTATGAGAATATTAAGAAAAATTATATGCTGACCAATTGGACAACTTAGAAGAAGTGGATAAATTTCTAGAAACATATAACTGACCAAAACTGAAGCAGGAAAAAATAGAAAATTAGAAATAGAAAATTTGAACAATTACCAGCAACAAAATTGAATCAATAATTAAAAAACTCCCAACAAACAAAAGTCCAAGACCAGAGGGTTTCACAGGCAAATTCTGCCAAACACTGAAAGAAGAGTTAATAGCTTTTCTTCTCAAACTATTCCAAAAAAGAGAAAAGGAAGGAACACTTCCAAATTCACCCTATAATGCATTACCCTGATACCAAAATTAGATAGACACCACAAAAAAAGAGAACTACAGGCCAAGATCTCTGATGAACATAAATGCAAATATCCTCAACAAAATACTAGCAAACCAAATCCAACAATACATTAATAAAATCACTCACCACGACCAAGTGGGATTTATTCCTGGGTTGCAAGAGTGGTTCAATATTCACATATCAGTCAACATGACACATCACACCAATAAGAAAGGATAAGAACCATATGATCATTTCAACAGCCACTGAAAAAGCATTTGACAAAGTACAACATCCATTCATGATAAAATTCCTCAACAAAGTAGGTTTGGAAGGAACATACCATGACATAATAAAGGCCATATATGAAAAGACACAGCTAATATCATCTTCAGTGGGGACAAACTGAGAGCCTTTCCCCTAAGATCAGGAACAAAACAAGGATGTTCACTTTCACCACCTTTATTCAACATAGTATTGGAAGACCTAGCCACAGCAATCAGACAACAAAAATTAAATCAGCAAGGAAGAAGTCAAACTTTCACTGTTTGCAGATGACATGATACTATATAAAGAAAAACCCAAAGACTCCAACAAAAAAACTGCGGGAACTGATTAACAAATTCAGTAAAGCCACAGGATACAAAATCAATCTACAGAAATCTGTTGTATTTCTACACACCAATAATGAAGCAGCAGAAAGAGAAATTAAGAAAATAATCCCATTTACAAATGCACCAAAATTAGTAAAATACCTAGGAATAAACCTAGCCAAAGAGGTGAATGACTTGTATTCTGAAAACCATAAAACAATGATGAAAGAAATTAAGGATGATATAAAGAAATGGAAGGACATTCCATATTACAAATTAGAAGAAAAAATATTGTTAAAATGTCTATACTACCCAAAGCAATCTACACATTTAATGCAATCCCTATCAAAATACCATCAGCATTTTTCACAGAGCTAAAACAATTAATCCTAAAATTTATATGGAACCACAAAAGACCCCGAATAGCCAAAGTAATATTGAAAAAGGAAAGCAAAGCTGGATGCATCTGAATTCCAGACTTCATGTTATATCACAAAGGTGTAGTAATCAAAACGGTACGGTACTGGCACAAACACAGATGCAGAGATAAATAGAACAGAACAGAAAATCCAGAAAGAAATCCACAATTATATGGTCAGTTAATCTTTTGACAAAGCAGGAAAGAATATCCAATGGGAAAAAGTCTCTTCAACAAATAGTTATGGGAAAACGACCACTTTCTTACACCAAAATAAATTCAAAATGGATTAAAGACCTAAATGTGAGACCCGAAACCATAAAAATCCTAGGAAAGAGCACATGACATTGGCCATAACAACTTTTTTCTAGATAGGTCCCCTAAGGCAAGGAAAACAAAAGCAAAACTAAACTATTGGGACTCCATCAAAATAAAAAGCTTCTGCACAGCAAAGGAAACCATCAACACAACTAAAAGGCAACCTACAGAATGGGAGAAGATATCTGCAAATGACATATCCAATAAAGGGTTAGTATCCAAAATACATAAAGAACTTATAAAACCACCCCAAACCAAATAATCCAATTAAAAAAAATGAACAGACATTTCTCCAAAGAAAACATACAGATGGCCAACAGACACATGAAAAGATGCTCAATATCATTCATCATCAGGGAAATGCAAATCAAAACTATAATGAAATAGCACCTTATACCTGTCAAAATAGCTAAAATCAAAAACACAAGAAACAAGTGTTGATGAGGTTGTGGGAAAAAAGGAACCCTCTTGCACTGTTGGTGGGAATGCAAACTGGTGCAGCCACTGTGGAAAACAGTATGGAAGTTCCTCAAGAAGTTAAAAATAGAACAACCCTATGATACAGCAATTGCACTACTGGATATTTATCCAAAGAATACAAAAACACCAATGCAAAGGATACAGGCACCTCTATGTTTACAGCAGCATTATTCATAACAGCCAAGGTATGGCAGCACCCCAAGTGTCCATTGATTGATAAATGGGTAAAGAAGATGTGGTACACACACACACATATATACATATATATAATGAAATATTATTCAGCCATAAAAAAGAATGAAATTTTGCCATTTGCAATAGCATGGATGGAGCTAGAGAGTATAATCCTAAGTGAAATAAGTCAGAGTAAGACAAATGCCTTATGATTTCACTCATATGTAGAATTTAAGAAACAAAACAAACAAGCAAAAGGAAAAAAAAGAGAGAGAAACCAAGAAACAGACTCAAATATAGAGAACAAACTGTTGGTTACCAGAGGGAGATGAGTGAAATAGGTGATGGGGATTAAGGAGGGCACCTGTCATGTTGAACATCAGGTGATTAAAATAAAAACTTAAAAAAAAATGTATACATTTTGTCCTATCCTTCAAAGAACTATGTGAAACAGGTATTCAACATATGTTTTTTCAAAGAATTGTATGGAAATATAAAAACTAGACTTTTAAGTTCTCATATTGAAAATAAGATCACTGGCAGTATCTTAGGTGAAAACTTACCATTTCACTTACTCATGAAACAAATTTGTGGAATGAAGTTGAATAATTAAAGGTATCAATCTAAAACATTGATATTCCCTACTTCTACATTATCTAGGCCTTTAAACCCTCTCCTCAGTTCCAACACTCCCACTATGATTGCCAAATCTTTTTCTGCAATTACTTTATTACATTTCTTTCTTTACAATTCTATTATACCATCACTACTTCATCAGTAGCAGCAGCTACTTTTTGAGTGCTATGTGCCAGGTGCTGCTAAGAGAGCTTTACATGAATTAAATCATTTAATCCTCATAACATCTTCTGAGAAAAGAAATATTATCCCTAACTATATACATGAGACAATGAAGCACAGAGAGGCTAAGCTAGTAAGTGGTAGCATTGGTATTTGAACCCAAACAGTGTTAACCTTCTTTTAGAGTTGCCTCTCAGAAATCACCTCACACCTCCAAAGTTCTGCTTCCGGGTTACAGGATATCAGATACCACTTCTCTCCTTTTGGAAATTCACTCAACATGATGAAACTAGATGATCGCTGTCATTAGAACATTACCCTGTTCAATAATCTACTTTACCTAAAAATTAGTTATAAAAATCAGATCAAATGTGTACAATCCAGGTATTCAAGATTCTTCTCAATCTATACACCCATTCTCCCTTTCTTACCTCATTCCCCATACAGCTCATCACAGGAACACTAAGCAAGAGGTATTTGGAGCTATATTCTTATCCTCTCACAGGGCCTAATACAATGCCCACATAACAGGTGCCAAAAATGTTTGCTAGATTAATGACTAAAAGGCTTTATGATTTTTCAGATACCTAGCTGTAAGTTACTGTAATGTTAGGGTTCATAGTGTTCACAAAGACATTTTGTTATTCCTTCCTAATAAGATAGTGCTAATAGTTTAAAAATTCAAAAATTCACCCATGACAAAATAAGGCAATTCGGAACACTTAAATCATAGGTTTTTCCTCTCTTCTTTAGCAAAAGAGGAGCAAGTGGTGGTTATATCCAACAGTGTGATTAAAGAAATGAAAGTATTCTTAATATTACCAAGAATTTTATTACTAACCTGTTGAGGGGTTACGGTATCTCTATAGCTTGGTAAAATTTTTAGGGTGACACTTCCACTAATATTTTTCAGTAATTCTTGTAATTCCTTTGGATTGTTTCCAACCTCATGACCATTGACTTCTTTAATGATATCTCCCACATGAAGCAGACCTTGTCGATCTATCATTCCTCCATGAAGGATTCGGGCAATTACCAGATCATTATTTTCGACCCTAAATGTTACACCCTAAAGGAAATAAAAAAACAGAATTATCACTGATTTTAGATTAGGAAGAAATCTTAAATATTCATTAATATGTATATACAAGAAAATAATTCTAAAAGTAGGTGAGTTAATTGTTCCTACTTTTCCTCTGTTCTCTGTCTCAATATTTTAATCTCATTAAACCATAGGCAACTGTGATGACATATACCACCCCATAAAAACAGGACTTCCATGGGAATTGCATTCCACAGGATAAAAAGTTCAAAGGAGAAGAAAAAGTATTTATGCATTCTGATGGCCTTGATCCAAGCTTTTCTTTTTTTCTTACAGTCGGGACCCAGAAATAATAATTTTAGCATGGAACAGAAAACTTCACTACTTATAGAGTCCCACCATGCTTCAATTCTTAATAACTTTCTTTTGTGTTTTGATACTATCATTAGCAAGCAACTTGAGCTCATTTCTTCAAAGGGTATAGGAAGAAATGGAGTAGTTATCTTCTGTAATTTTTGCTGCCCATTACCAAACTTCTTCTGGCCTCTATTTCAGCTTAACATTTTATTTTGGCTTAATTTTGTATGCTATATTAAGTTAAGAGAGCATCAGCTGTGTATTTATATACAAGCCAAAAAAACACTGATAAAACAAATAAACATGAATTGAAGTTTTTATAATACAAATTATGAAAAAGAAAAAAAAGACATGATTGAGCCACAAATATGTCAGATTTCAGATTTTAAAAGGCACTGATTTATCTACTCACCAATGGCTCCCCAGCTCTTTTGTGAATACCAAGAATACGAATGGCATCTACTGGTAATAACTGATTATTGATAGAAGAATTATTCATTTCTGGGCTTGATGGAGGTGAATCATAACATTTTGATGCCACGATATCATGGGCCTCCAACAGTGACTATAAGGATTCAAAATAGCCTGCGGTTATTAATTACTGATGGAATAAGTTATTAAAAATAACAGTTCATTATCCCAGTGGAGTACTAAAACCTTCCCAGTCACACATTATTTAATTCTAAATGCAACAGAATTTTTTAAAGAAATATAAATATATATAGTACATTAACATAAACAATATTGTATTCCTTGTTTTAAAAGATTTGAAGAGACTGATAGAGTTTTATGACTTTTTTTTAAAAAGTGACATGGTCAGTGGAAACTGAACCTAGATTTCCAAATGTGGTACACTTAAGGCACTGGAATTCACTGCTGCCATGGTCATCAATATTATCATCATTCCATATTTATCATCAATCCCTATTTATTGGGTATCAGACAAATTCAAATGGTACAGGGGCACCTGGGTGACTCAGTTGGTTAAGCGTCTGCCTTCTGCACAGGTCATGCTTTCAGGGTCCTGGGATCGAGCCCCGCTCAGGGGGGAGCCTGCTTCTCCCTCTCCCTCTCCCTGCCGTTCCCCCTGCTTGTGCTCTCTCTCTCCCTCTCTCTTCCAAATAAATCTTTAAAAAAAAAAAAAAAAATTCAAATGGTACAGACCCTAACTTTTACTCTAAGACTGTTATGTTACTAATACTATATATTTCTTACCCATATAAAATGTCTGCTAAAAAGACATCCAATAGAAAATGGATATTTACAGCATCTAGTATCAGTGATGAGAGATTTTATATTATTTATAAAGACTTTAGTTTATAAAACATATATTTTAAGGGAGGGAAAAAAAACACCTAATGAGACAGTAAAGGTCGTGAATATAATTTTACCTCCTACATTTACTATGTATGTGCTATCATCATGGATGACTTTGATCTAGTTTTCTAGGAACTTCTTACAATTTTTTTTATATATTTTAGTTTTTCATTTACATTATAATTGTGTATACACCACAATAAAGCTGAGTTAAAAAAATTTTTTTTTGAGTGGATGGAGTTCAAAAACAAATCAAAATAGAAAGAACAGAGAAAATGTCAACAAATTAGAACAGAAGCAATCAGGATATGAATTAAATTGGTAATTTCTGGTCATTTCATGAAAATATGTTGTAAGAGACTAAAGAAAATTTCAAAAAGAAAAAAAATCACAAGTCCACATGTAAGGATTATTTCTATAATGCTAGAAGTTGCTTAAATCTCTAACCTGGGCTGCTTAGTTTTCACCCTATGCCTTCTTAGCCAGCATTATCTACTCCTGTGACTTGAACCACTACTTAAACACTGATAACTTCCAGAATTCTCATGAGCTTCAGATTCACAGACTAAAAATCTGTCCACAACTAGCCAGTCATGATAATTTGAAAATCAAAGAGTAAAGATGGTAGAGGATTGAAACATACTGAATAATGAAAAATCTGTAACTGCACAATGCTATTTAAAAAACAGAAGGACTGAAAACTTCATCTGTTGCCATTCAAGACTGCTATTTTAAATAATTCTTTACTTTATAAACTGGTAAAGGGAAGGATCAGGCATTTCCCTGATTTTTCAGTATGAAATGCATTATGGGTTAACTAAATAGTTCAGTTGACGAGGAAAAGCTCTACTTTATATAAGAACAGCAGCTACACAATGTTGAATGAGAGAATCTGAAAAATGTCATTTTGAAGCCTCTAATGAAAATACTGATTCAGGTAAGGATTAATTTGTGTTCATAAGTAAATAAATGGTTGAACAGGAAATAGTGTTCCTAGAATAATAACACACTAGATTATGTCCTAGTGAAAAGTATTTCAAAGGAAGGATTAGACTGTTTATGCCTTTAATCAAGGGACCAATCTCAGCAACAGTACTGGTGGGCTAACCAGGTGTCACACATCTTCTGATGTAGTTTAATTCATGTTGCATTACATCACTAATGATGCATTCTAGTTCCAAATAATTAACCTGAATCATCAACCTTTTAGATAGAACTTCTGGTTACAGGAAATAGAAGGGATAACTAAACAACACAGCGAAGAGACAACCAGATTCATCCAGGGACTGGGACATTCTTCAGGGCAATGGTCTGGTCTCTTAATAGGTCAACATCATAATCAAGGGAGAAAAGATGGTCCATCCAAATGCCACACATGAATCTAGGTTGGAAACCCATAAGTATAAACCAGCTGTAAAGAATATTTTGGTGTCAAATGGAGATGTTTGAATATAATATGTGTATTACATGAAATGGAGATCCACTGAAATGGAAAAGTGGAAATCAATGACTGAAAAAAAAGGGTAAGTTACAAAATAGCTTGTACAAAAGGACCTCAACCAGTAAAGAGAAAAATATGTACATTTTGCATAGAAAAAGTATGGAGGAATATGTACTAGGATAGTACAGTAAGATCTGGGTAGTAAGAATGCAATGTCTTAATTTTTAAATTTTTGCTTGCCAGTATTTTCTAATTATATTTATTAAACTTTATATAAATTTATGTACTTGTTAAATTTCATATATTTATTAAAGATATATAGCATGCCTGAAAGCTCTACCAGATGCTCCTAAGGTATCACAAACTTAACATGGCTGGTTACCTTAACATGTCAGTTTCTTCTAGAGTGTTCCTTATCTTAGTGAGTGCCATCAATTATTTGTTAGAAATCATATCCTTATCAACTTCCCACATCTCTCTTCTGCAACTATCACATGTAACCAATCACCAAGTCTTGTTGATTTTACTGCTTAAAACTTGAAAATCCTATTTTCTACTCTCGACACTGCCGTCATAGTTTCTTGCCTTAGTGCTTAACCATCTTGCTCCACAGTCTGCCCTCTCCTTGTGTAGTATTTCCCACTCTCTCCTCTCATGGTTTCCCACTGTCCTCAGGATAAAGTCCAAATGGCTTACTGTGCCTTGTAAGGCCTTCATCAACTGGCACAAGCATGTATGTCTCTGTGTCCATTTTTTTGTACTTTAAGATACTGATTCACGGAGCAACCAACTCACTATAAACCTTTGTATTTTGCAGCCACATTGCTGAAGAGTCACAGAAACTCCTTGAGAAAAACCAAACAGGTGTTGCCATTTGACTTTCAATGCTAAGATTTATAGTGAAAAACATTTTGTTCTTCTAGCCCAGCACCACTTATGGAACAGTCCATTTTTTTCTCCCCTAAAATGTAGTATCTCTATCATAAATCAAATTGCCATACACATGTGTATGTATTTCTGGGGTTTTTTTATTCTCTTCCATTGGTCTATTTTTCTAATACTGTCCCAATGCCACACTAAATTACAGGTTGATAAGAAATCTCTCCCCCCTCCCCTCCATTTTCTCTTCTAAAACTGACTTTTTTGTTAAACAGATTTAGTTTTCACTGCTACAGACCAAAGCTTAAATTGCACTTATTTTTTTGCACCTATGGAGGAAATGTTATGGATTAGTTTCTATCCTTACATAGTTCTCTTTTGTTCCAAGGTCACTGATTGCATCTCAGTCTCAGAAGCAATACTGAAAGAGCTTTAATAGGGAGGGCTGTGAAACAGTGGTAGTGAGGAAGGAAAATCTATTATCACAGTAAGAAAAATGTCTCTGGCATGTGGTCTAGTGGTGAATCAAGGCTGGTTTTAATGACACAATGGAAAACCCATTCTGATGTATTTCTGCTGTACATTTATGTAGTGTGTATGAGTTGTGTGTGTCTGTTTTGATATCCTCGGTATTTCAGGACATTAAAATACCTAAGTTGGAATTTACATATTTACAAAATATGGCTCTAAATAACCTTAAATAAATCACCTTAAACTGAAACTACGAAAAGAGAATACTTTGGGAATACAGGGGACTTGGGAAGAAAACTAATAGGTAAAATTTACCTGGAAATGAGGCTCTTTGAGTATACCAACCAGTTCTGCCACATTTTCATCCACATTTATTAAGGGAGTGATATCTTCAAGAATTTCATTGACTAATTCTAAGTTATTATCACTGACGGCTTCTAGTTTTGAATCTTCTAGCCTCTCGTGAGCCTAAAAAGATAACAGTATAATTAGTCATAACACATATTGTTTTGCTCCAGACCATGATTTTCTTTTTTTTTTTTTTTAAAGATTTTATTTATTTATTTGAGAGAGAGAGAGAATGAGAGATAGAGAGCATGACAGGGAAGAGGGTCAGAAGGAGAAGCAGACTCCCCGCTGAGCAGGGAGCCTGATGCGGGACTCGATCCCGGGACTCCAGGATCATGACCTGAGCCGAAGGCAATTGCTTAACCAACCGAGCCACCCAGGCGCCCCTGGTTTTCTTCTTTTCCATGAAGAACACTTAAAAAGATACTACTTGAAAGTTTGATTCATTGAAACCAAATTTAATATTCCAATCAGAGGCAATATACAGATTTTATAGTAAATGTTATCAAGCAATATAATAAATCTTGGCTTCTATTCCTATTCTAAAAGTCATGGAAAACTTGTTTTAATAACTAAACCATGAAAAGACTAAATAGGTCAGATGACAACTGAAAAAACACATTTCCTACCCAATAGAATTTCCTAATGACTTTCTGGTCTAGGCTCAAACTTTAGATGATACTGCTCATGCTTCATGAAAATAAATGATTATACATAATAAAAATTAAAAAATAGGAATGTAATCATTATAGGGACTGCCATTAAAAAATAATAAAAATCATTTGGGGAGCACCAAATCCTAAAGCTACCATTTTTCCAATTTTGAAAATCAGCAAAATAAGTCAATTCAGGGAAGTCAGCTCTTGAACTGGACCTTGAAGGACTGTTTGATTTCACTAGGGGGGTGATCCCCTCATGTCTCTTTATCTTAAGCCACTTTTTTTTTTTTTTAAATCTCACCATCTTTTCCATGGAAAGTGGACCATGAATCACACTGTCACAGGAAACAAGTAGCCCTAATTTAGCCTTTAATAGTGGGAGTAAAACAGAGTTTTAAATTCAAACTGAAAATGAACACTAAGCAGTCTCCCTCTTTAAGTGCTCTTTGTTTTTCTGATGAATGGTTGCTGTCTGATTTTGAAGGCAGGCAGAGCATAACTGTTAAGACTTAATGTATAAATGAAAGCATGTAAGACGACAAATCTTGTATTTAATATATTAAGATCCATTTCTGTAAGTGCTCAGGAAAAACCCAAGTTTCAAGTAGTAATAGTATCAATTAAACTTTATCTGTACCTATAATTCTTTAGCTGTTATGTCTACCATAGAGTGGATCCTTCAAAGACAAACACAGTCTGATTTTTAAAATGTGATTTTTTTCATTTAAATGTATTTTTTCTAGGTGACTCACAAGAATGAAATAAGTGTTTAAGTGGAAGAGGGGGCTATATATTAAGCAACATTTTTAAGAAACACCTCAGAAGAAAAAAATTTTAAGTCATATGAAATGACAGAAGAAATTATAACTGTTATTAAACAAAGAAAAATGTCAAAAGACTAAATATATTTAGAGGAAGGAGTTTCTATTACATTTAGATAAGAAAAAAATTAGATAAGAAAAAAATTAAGATTAGAGAATGCCACAAAGAATGAAATGGGTAGGGAGACAAACCATAAGAGACTATGGACTCTGCAAAACAAACTGAGGGTTCTAGAGGGGAGGGCAGTGGGAAGATGGGTTAGCCTGGTGATGGGTATTAAAGAGGGCACGTATTGAATGGAGCACTGGGTGTTATACACAAAGAATGAATCATGGAACACTACATCAAAAACTAATGATGTAATGTATGGTGATTAACATAAAAAAAAAAGAAACTACACTATCTTTCTACATTTAGCCAAGATTGCGTTTATATACCATTCTCTGCAAAGAGGGAAGCAGACATCATTTGTGGAAACCTTTGTTCAAAAAACAGGAAAAAGAGTGGTGTTAAAGGTACTAAAATAGAAAAGTTTTTCCTTTCTTTGGTCTCTCTTTTGACTTGTGATGTTTTTTATTTGCTATTTAATGTTCTTCTAAGTAAAAACGTTTTCTTCGTTATTAAAAAAAAAAAACGAAATGGGTAAATCTGCAACTTCATGAAAGTTTAATATAAGCCTAATAAGGGTAAGATAAGGACACTCACATCATAAAATGATTATCACCATTGGAAAAAACCTAAAATAATGGACAAAACTAGCTATTAACTCTTAAAAACAAGCTAGAATTGCTTATTGCTTTAATACAAATATTTGCTGTTAACAAATACTTAATTTAGCACTGTTAAGCTTGCAATACTCTATTACTCTTATGGTAGTATAAGAAAGTTTAAAGGAAAAAAAAGAAGTAAACAACATTTATTGAGGGCTTTTTGTGTATGTGTCTGGAACTATATTCTCACTGCAGTGCGAGTGAGTGTGTGTATGTATTAAGCAAAGGTAGGTGTATTGTTATCCTCACCTTATAGACACAGATGCTGATGCAAAATAAGATAGAGTGATTTGCTTGATCCACACTACTGATAAGTGATCCACACTACTGATAAGTGGCAGAGTCAGGTAGTCTAATACCAAGGCTTGAATGCTTACCGACTAAAGCTTATTTGACTTCATCACTATACAGACAGCCACTGAAATATCATACTGTGGTTAATTATTCCATCTATTATATGATGCATTATTCTAACTCATTTAACTGTGAGATATGATCTCATTGACTGCTAGTTGATTTGTTGCTTGTTAGCATGCTCTTCTAGTCCAGATGTGTTATTAATTCTGTTCTACTGCATCTATCCCCACAGTTATTTTTATACTCCTGTGGTTCAGAATGCCACCCATCCCTTCAACCTGCACCCCCTCTGCTCCAAGTAAGAGCTATAAAGACCACCTGTTTCTCCAGGAAAAAGATAATGACTGCCTTACAATTTTCAGGTACTAGGTCAAAATATTTTCTATAATATCCTATGGTCATGTAATGTATCAATTCAATTCAAGACACTGGGACAAGCAAAGAGAAAGAAATGATCACTGACTTGAGAACTCTAATATAGCTCCCTTTGTTTCTATGTTCATCTACTTTATTGCTCCCAAACTGGGTGAGGACACATGGGAATGTGGAAAGACCCAACAGAAAGAGGAAGTCAAGTAGGAGGGCAAAATTATATTATAAAAACAAACATACCCAAAGGTTTTTTCACATCAACTACACAGACTGGTGCTATAGTAGGAAAGAATCTCACTACACAATAAATTCTCAGAAAAAAAAAAAGAGGCTTTTTAGTGAAACTGCAGCTATAATTATATTAACATAGAAACCAAATTTCTAAAATATAGTTGGGTTCTATTAAGATCAACTTTACTTTTTCCAAGAAAGCAAAAGTAGGTCCATATTTGTTAGTATGCAGATTTTTAAGCTCTAAGATACTGTGAAAGAAGTTGGGACCTCCATTCATTTTAAAGTCGGAATTTATTTAGTAGCTTTTAAAAGGCAAGTGCCAACTTGAATTTAACTGATAAGACCAAAAAAAAGGCCAAAGGAAATACTGAAAATTGACCAGAAGGACAGATGAATCGTAAGCTCTTTGAATAAATGGGTCTTATTTCCTTTAAGAAAAGATACTATTAGAAAACTAGCATAACTTGATAAAAACATATTCTACCTGCCACAAGTGGCTGAAAGAACATGCCATGACTGGCTTCGTAGAACACTTGGAGCTGATACAAATATGGCCTAGCCTTCTTGTATGTCCACTTCTGAGAATCCTATTTACCACTGCACCTTAGAAAAATGAACTGCAGAGAAGAAAAAGTTCTTTCAGGACTTCTAGGTATTTCTTCTAGGCATAGTCCAACCATGCTTGCAAGCAAAAAAAAAAAAAAAGTTTTAACAAGTTGTATAACTAAAGTGACAAATACTATTATTTATTTTATTATATCTAATACTGTTATTGTTATGTGTAATAACCCTGCCTTTCCTCCTTAAAAGGACCAAAATATCATAAATTTTGTTTCCATCTTTGAATGTGGCTATGTGGTAGTTGCTCATTAAATGTTTCTTGAAAAAGCTAAGTAAATGGGAAATAAGTTTTGCTGTGGACAGAGTCATCCCCTTCTATTCTAGAGACTTTAGGAAGAGAAGGATCAAGAGAAGCCCACAGTCAAAAATAAACAAGAATTTGAGAAAATAGAAATGAGCCGGTAATAGAAAAGTCGATTTCTATTTTGCTTCTGCATACATTATATCAAAGAGAATGAGCTTTGTTCTGAACAAAAAAATGGATAAGTATAAATAAATTAGAATTGAATTCTCTAATGAGTAAAGAACTTGTCAGAAATCTAGTTAACAAAAGGAGTTCAAATTCTTAGATTAGATAAATTATATATCAAAGTACTCAGGGAGCTTCTAAATAACACTGCCAATCCACTCTTAGTTATCTGTAGAAAAAGAGAACCACACAGATGCCAAAAAAACTAGAAATGGGAATCTGTTATACTTTTTAAAATGAGAAAGACCTTTTTTCTTTTTTTTAAGCCAGCTTTAACAATATTCTGAGAAAATATAAAAGAATACTTTTTATAATCTCTGAGTGGGAAAGACCTTTCTAACTTATGTTACAAAATCTGGAAGCTCTAAATTAAACAAAAAAGGCCCAATAAAATTAACTACATTTAAAATATTAAATTTCTTCTTGTCAAAAATCAGCAAAGTCAAAATACAAATGACAAACTAGGGTTAAAATAGTTACAAATCATATTGAAAGACAAAAGGCTAATTTTCTTATACATAAAGGACTTCTTTTACTTATTAGAGCAGGAGAAAGAGCGAGAGAGAGAGTGCAAGCACTAGCAGGGGGAAGGAAGAGGGACAAGCACACTCCCTTCACCTGACGTGGGGCTCGACCCCAGGATCCTGAGATCATGACCTAAGCCAAAGTCAGATGCTTAACTGACTGAGCCACCGAGGCACCCCTACATAAAGTATTTCTACAAACCAATAAGAAAAAGATCAACACATAAAGAGAAATAGGCAAATAATATGAAAGAAATACACAGAAAAGGAAATTCAAATACCTCTTAAATAT